ACAGTCGATCCTCAGTTCTGCCACCAGACTACAGTCTCTGGGTACTTCATCACCTGTGTCGTTCCTCCGTTCTGCCATCATATGGAGATTATAGTATCTATAGTCTCTGGGTAGTTCATCACCTGATTCTTGTGTCTATCCTCCGTTATGTCATCAGATGGGATTCTAGTATTTACAGTCTCTGGGTTCTTCATAACCTGCCTCTTGTGTCGATCCTCCGTTCTGCCATTAGATAGAGAATCTACAGTCTCTGGGTACTTTACAACCTGCCTCTTGTGCCGATCCTCCGTTCTGTCATCAGATGGGGATTCTAGAACCTACAGTCTCTGGGTACTTCATAACCTGCCTTTTGTGATGATCGTCCATTTTTCCATCAATTCTAGCTTTAAAACACTTTGTTTATTCATATTATTAATCTACTTTCCGTTCTGGCGCAAGTATCCCTTGCGGGATATAGCGCTTTGGAAATAAAATAATTGTAATTGTTCTGTAATCAAAAAGGAATTATAATATATAATATTATTAATAAATTCCCTCTTTTTTTACTGCCATCCTCTCCATCCTGCCTTGCCTTCATATTGAGCTTCTCAAAAATCTAGAGCCTGGAAAACTAACTCTTGTAACAACCCACGTAATACCAAAGATTGGTTCTCTAGTATTTAAGTACTCTTGTTGATAAACCTGGGCTGTATATAACATGCCTATAACGATATTTGACAATATATGCTGAGCAGGATATCTTTGCTTTGCGTATTTTGTCAAATGTTTGTTACATGTCTCTTTCTTTATCTTGTTTAGCTCAACCGTTCTGCTCCCAGAGAACAATTCCTCAGCCGAAATAAACATATAATTGCCTTTTTAAATATTGTATTTGTGGTTTATCTCTCTTTCGCCGTTAAATAACAAGATTATAGCCGACTAATTCTAGATGTTGACACAAATAACCTACTTTTTTTTATAACACAAGTAAATATTCACATCGCTAGCTCGCTATCATATTATCATCGCTATCAATCAGTTATTCTGGGCCTTTTAATCTTTCGAGAAAAATGTCCCTTTTCACAAATATGCACACTCGCGCGCGAGATACAGGTAAAGATACGTTTCTCTATTTAAATATTTATCGGGATATGTGTGCTTATAGTTACCTTAATATAGTATTGAGGATTTTTCTTTATATCCAGTTGGTTCTAGAAGGTCTTGATTTGCTTCATGCAAAATTAATTTAAAAATATAGATTCCGAAAGAGAAGAGTTAAGACTTAATCTATTTTAATTTTAAATTTATAATTTTGTAGTTAAGAGTACCAATTCTTTCTTAAATTAATCGTGAAACAGGTGTAAATCATGAATTAGAAGATTCTCACAACTCTCAAAAGCTGTAAATATCTCTCAGGATAGTTACAAGGCTTAGCTTCAGAGCTAAAAGACTATTATACAGGGTTAAAGCAATACCTAATTGTAAAATGCCTACTACAGTCTTTGTAGTATTATATTAGAGGGCTAGTGAGGAGTAGCATAAACCATCAGTTTTAGACAGCCATAACCTGGTATTGAATCCCACATTGGGCACGTTTTTGTGAAGATTCATGTTAAAAGTCCATTTCCGCAAGTGAGTCCAAGTAAACAAACTTGGCTTTCGTACAATTATAATTGCAAAGGTCGATATGCTCTCTACATATGTAGACATGTGTTGCACTTGCAGTAAAAGCTGTTGTTAACTACCCACCATGAATATTATGTCCTCCACCACGCGTGTACTAGGGAGATTATCTTTAAAAAGGTATGATTTTAGGCCGGTAAAATAACTTTTAAGTTCGATAGCTCAAGCCTTGTGTGAGAAAGAATATAATAAAAATCTATAGCTCTCTTTAAGGTTGTAAGGAATCTTTTAAATCTTGAATTAACAAAGACAATACCTAATTAGAGAATCAACATTAACTAACTCAGTACTAATTAAGCTCCAAGTAGCAACAAGTGGCGAACCTTCTATTGTGTGTTTTACCCTTGATGGATGAGAGGTTGGCGTGCCGCTGCCTTTGTTGATGTCTTTCTTTGTGTTTGTGGCTGGCTTTCAGCATTGCTGATTAACAGGTGGCCTCACCGATGGCTTGTTCATGGAACCTAATCTCGCTATATAGCACGTCACCTTCTTGGGATTCAGAGTTCTTAAGAATAAAAATAAATATAAACCTATAGACAAACCATAAGGAAATTGTACTTTTTAATATCTATATCGAGATTCAGACAATTATTCTGAAAGATATTTGATACACAGTAATATTTTAAAATACAAATATATTCTCACAATAAGTACTTTTTATTTAAAAAACGTTAGCTTTCAAGCGTTAATCGCTCTTCAACGGGCTTACTATTCATTGTTAGAATATATTTGTAATTTTAAAACTTTTTTTCACAATTTTATCATGAATACAGTAATCTTTATTATTGAAGACACACGAGACAACCAAGTGTGAACAAAATTTCTTCTGTCTCCTTAAAAAACAAAAAACAAAAAAAAAACAGACGACTGGCAAAATCAAAGACGTTCTCTTCTTCTTCTACTTTCATATCTATACTTAATCATATTAAGGTATCAAGTTTTAAAGCTTGACAACCATCATGACTGGGTGATGTAGAATGCGTCTGCCTTTGTCATTAAGACTGGGAGCACTACTCAGTGGTAGGCCGACTTAGCTCCAAAAGAAATGGTCGCCTCTTAAGTTTTGTACATGAATGTGTGTAGAGCATACTTCAAAATTCCTGAAGATTCATATGAAATTTCATATACCTATTTTTTAAAAATCCTAATTGGAACCAATATAATCAATTTAAAAAAGTTCCTAAATACACCAGGCCTAGGCCTTAATAATCATCGTGGGTAGTTTGCGAATAAAATACGAATTAAATATGTTTTTGAATTAAAGACATTAGAATTATCCAAAGTTCTACTGTAATTTTAAATATACCGAGCTAACTCACCTTATTTGTCAGTTTATTCAACTTTTAAATGATAAATAGGGTGTATAAACATATGTTATAAGTTAAATAAGCTAGCAAAAGATAAGGGATATACCTTTTGGTTGAAAAGAAACACATGCGGGATAATTTTCAAATGTCATTTTACAATGACAAGCCGCATTATATTATATTGTATTTGTTGTGTCTCTATGTTCTTACGATTACTCCAGGTCACCGAGATCCATTAAGTGATAAAACCTTTATTGCCTCACAAGCACTAATATAACTGAACTAACTATTTACAAATTAAGAATATCTATATGTTATAGATTAGAAATTTTTTGTGTGTTTGATTGTTGAAAAGAGGTGCAGTCGTGGAAAAATAAAAATAATTATTTACCTTTCAAGCAGATTTTTATTTTGAATCTCTTGAAGTAAAAATATACATAAATTATTTATATCACAGGAATATAGAATTTATATAATGAATTCTATAATCGTGGATAAAAGATAGGTAGGGTTAAATATACATATTTACAACAATAATAATTAAATGTGATATATTTTTTGAATATATGGTCAAAAATGCAGAACAGTCAATGAATGAAAAAATAAAATATATGTTTTAAAAAAAAATAAAATATTTGTATTTTAGATTATATAATATATATATATACATAAAAATAATTAACATAGTAAAACAAACATATACAGGGTCCATTATGAAAGAAATGAGCATTTACTGGCAAAATACATTTATTGATCGTAATTTGTGCAAATGTTCAATATTCTTCAAAATACATTCCTCCTGCATCAATACACTTGCGGAGACGCGTTTGCCACGCCTGAAAGGCACCCTGAAACTCCTCGACAGGAATGCTTCTCAGGAACGTTGTAACATGGTGTTGGATGTTTTCCACGGTTTCCCAATGTTTTCCTTTCATCTCTATCTTGAGTCGCGGAAACAAAAAGAAGTCACATGGAGCTAAGTCGGGACTGTAAGGGGGGTGAGAGAGAGAGGGATCACCGAGGTGTTGCTCCGGGCCAGGAAGTTGGTAATGATGAAGGCTGTGTGGCTGGTGGCATTGTCATGGTGGAGCTTGACCGTGTCTTTAATGTCAGTCCTCACGCGTACGATCCGGCGTTTCAATCTCCTGAGAACCTTCAGGTAAAAGGCTGAGTTCACAGTTTGTCCCTGCGGTGCAAACTCACAATACACTATTCCTCGGATGTCAAAGAAGACAATGCTCATCATTTTGATGCGCGACTTGCTCATTCGCGCTTTCTTGGGGCGTGGGGATGATTTTGTGTGCCATGCACAGCTCTGCCTTTTCGACTCTGGGTCGTATTCAAACATCCAGGATTCGTCTCCAGTTACTACAGAGTTCAGAAAGTCCGGTTCATTTTGAATCAAATCCAACATTTCTTGACAGCGCAAAACTCTAAGTTCTTTCTGGTCTTGCGTCAACACTTTCGGCACAAGCTTCGCACAGACCTTACACATTTGCAGATCCTCGGTCACTATCCCATGTACCACAAATGTGGACATGTGTAATGTGTCAGCAATTTGCTGGATGCTTAATCTAAGGTCGGTACGCAAAACTTCGAGCACACGATCCACGTTCTCGTCAGTTCTGGCCGTTGTTGGGCGTCCTGAACGGGGTTCGTCGGCGACCTCCTCCCGGCCCTCCTTGAACGCCTTGTGCCACTTCCCAGACTGTGATTTTGAAATGCAATCGTCCTTGAAGGCTTTTTGCAGCATCTGGAATGTTTCGGTTGCATTTTTTCCAAGCCTCACGCAAAACTTTATGGCGTATCGTTGTTCAAGCGAACGCTCCATCGCGCTATGTTACAAAAGTTGAAAACACACTTCAAGCGGAGGCATGTAACTCCCCTCACATTGCTCGAACTCAACTGACGACCGGATGGATTGAAAGGGCATATCCCTCCACCACATTTCCCACGGTTTTACCGTGCTGCCATCTATCATCGCGTCACAATAACATTATGCTCATTACTTTCATAATGGACCCTGTATATGTCCTGAGTAGCCTAGTGGATATGGTATCTGTCCGATAAATGGAACACTGTGGGTTCAATTCCCATCCCTGGATACTTTTATTTTTCCGTTTATCATTTTACTCTTCACAATTCATCCTTTCATACCTCATCCCTCAGGTTAGAAATAATCGTTATTTCTCCTTAAAATAAATTTTGATTTTTCGTTGAAAAGAAACACATGCGGGATAATTTTCAAATGTCGTTTTATATACCTTGTGTTCGTGTTCGTTTAAAAAAAAATAAATGGTGATCGACTGAAAGGAAAAACAATGGGGGAAATAAATGCACAGAAACACAGTATAACAAAAGGATTTATTTCAAAGATTAAAAACAAAAGGGATAAAAACTATTATACTTATATAAAGAATTAAGGGTAAAAAACAAGAAAAATGGTTAAGCTAAATTATACTTATAACTAAGGGATTATGTATAAAAAACAATAAACAAGGTTAAGCAAAAAAGAAAGTAAAAAAATTAACTAATCTCAGGGAAGGGAGATAAAAATAAATGGCGGGGGGGTGTCGAGCGTTTGTTTACACAGTACCTCTGGAGTGGCAGCACCGTCGCAGGCTTGACTTTCTCTTGTCGCGATGTCCAATTGTCGCGCGTTGGTTGTCTAATTGTCACGACTCGTTGGTTGTCTAAGTGTCTTTTTCCGTCCTCAAGTCGCTGCTTGAGGGATACTCCAATGCGTCCTTTCCCGTCCACGAAACTCTGCTCGTGGGATTTTCTTCGACGTCTTTCCGTCCACGTGACTCTGCTCGTGGGATTTTCTTCGACGTCGTTCCGTCTACAAGACGCTGCTTGTAGGATTGTCTTGGCGTGTCTGCTCCGCCTGGCAAGGGAACTCAACTTTCCCCTCCGCTTCTAACAAGGGAATCCTGCCAACTGACCAAAAAAGAATGTAACATGACGCTCCGTCGTCTCCGCCCACGCCGACCTTTGCCCTCGGTCGGTCCAAGCTGGGGCTATCTATAGATATAGATGTCTTGCTCGTTGTCTCCCTTCACCTAAGACCTTCCTTCTATGTACAAAAAGTAAAGGATCTATAAAATAGTTTTAACACCTTGTAATATATGACTTCAACATTAAGTTTGTTCATTATTTTGCCCATAAAAAACAACTTTATATCTTTTATTGATGTTTTGATAACATAGCCTTTTATAATATTCATAAAACGGTAAATTTAAAAGACAATAAGAGTATGTTTAATAAGAAATCATTTGAATAAAGACATTCTAAGATATTTAAAAGATAATACTCAATTTACTTAACGCACATATTATCTTTTATTATAGAAATCATCAAAAATAGAAAAATAAAACAAAATAGTTCAGAGAGTTTGTAGAATTACCCATTTCAATATTGATTTTTTTACCATCTAATTTATTTATTTTAGAAATAAAATCCCAAGGAAATCTGTAAGAAATATTTTGAATTAACAAATAAAATGATCGTTAATAAGGTAAATAAAAGCATTTTCTATTTTGATTTCTATTTTTAATAATAAAATTTTAATACATTCTCATCTTCATTATAAAGTCATTCAACACTTCTCAGAAACGCATTTAAGGATTTATATTCTTAGAAGCTAGTTTTCGATATTTTATCATTTAAAGTATCCATTAATTACCACATTATCTTTCAAATTTCAATCACAAGAAGGAAATAAATTCTATATTTAATAATCAAATTAATATTAAAAAGACATTTATAGATATAAACTAACCTAGTCGCCCAGCTATGCCCGAATTCTGAATAGGTTAGTGTATTCCAAAAGAATATTGTTCAAACATATGTAAATATTAGCACAAAAGGTTATATAATCATTATAATATTACAATAAAAGTATAAGTACAAATCTCTAGATAGAGAAAGTCATATTCTCCTCATCAAAAAGGAAAACATTCACTGCAGGATTTGTGGAAATATGATGTCTGATGAAACCTCCCACTATATCATAGAATGCAAATATTTAGGTGAAGAAAGAAAAAAAAAAACTCTTAAAAACACCTTCTGGAGATTTAGCAACCCACTGCAGACGCTGAGAACTATTTCAGAAAAGAAAAATATAGCAATAGAACTCTATATTTTCTACAGATCAATTGTAAATAGATTCATACACAAAAGAGGTAGTGAGGAAAGTATTAGAACAGATGTCTAAATAAATCCCTTTTCAAACAAAGACTCGCGTGCACATGGGGAAAGGGAGAGGAATTGCTGCATTGTTTTGTTGTTGTGTTACGAATCCATACAGGGCAATGGGCCCTAATAAAAGCCTTTTTGTTGTTGTTGTTGTACAAGTACAATTTAGTACTTGTAGAAGGTACTTTTGTTAGTAATACTATATTTATATATAATGAAGGCATATCAAGAAAAGCACATGTGCTCCTGGTCAGGATATGCCTTTTTTAATTTTAATATCAACACCTGGCCTTTTTTTATCATTTTTTTCATGTGTTAAGTGTATTTACGCAATTTTGGCCTTAAATACCTATTGTCAATTGTCTTGTTAGAAGTAATCTTGATGATTTGGCCTTTATTAATATATTAATCATTATTAGTTTAAAACTTCTATTTATTCAAATTACAAGTTACTTGTAATTCGGTAGCAGCCTGATCTGTTTAGGCTTTGAATAGCCTAAAATGATAATTTAAAGATTTCTAATTGAATGAATTTATAAGAAATAAAAACCTTGTAGGTTTGTTTTAGAGGGGGTAATTTAAGTTTTATCTTTGAGTATAGTTGAAATATCGATGTTGTATCGTTATTATTTAATTTATTAATTAAATATTACTCACCAGATGAAATTATTTAATTTTAATTATATATATATATATTTAAGGGTTACATTTATTTTACAATTTATTTATATTCGAATTCAATGTTTGCGCTTCATGCTTTCCATGATGATGATATATATCTTTAAACACAGAATACTACAATCGATATTAAAAGAGAGACAATTAACAAATTAATTGACTTCTAGTAAACAGCAAAGTAAATAAAAATACTTTAAAAGAGAGAAGGCCATAGGATAAAACATAGCGTTAAGTAATTATGTAGATGTAACATTTTTCCAAGTTAGTCTGAAGTTGGTGTTATGGTAGAAAGACTGCCATGTATATGTATCTTTTAAAAAGAGATAGAAGACCATAGGATAAAACATAGCGTGAAGAAATTATGTAGATGTAACACTTTTCAAGTTAGTCTAAAGTGGGTGTTATGATAAAAAGACTGCCATGTATATGTATGACATAATAAAAATATGATTTTTATTATTCATTAATATAATTATAATTTAAATAATCATAGAATTAACACAGAGTTAATTTTTTAAAATCCTTAACAAAAGGAGTACAACCCAAGATGTTTTTTGTATATACTTAGATTATTTTTATTAAATTATATGTATGCAAACTTTTTGTTCTTAAAAATATAATCATTAAAATTAATTCAATTTTGGATATAAAAGTTATCATTTCACTTCAATCCACGACTGGATGAATGAATTGGTAAAGTACCTAAAATACATCTTTTTTTACGACATCATTATTAATAGTCGACAGGATGTATTTTAACCCTGTACGAGAAGAATTCCAATAGATTTCAAAGCCATATATTGCAACTAAGATATTTGGGAAAAGATATAGATAAAAGAATAGCAATTATGGAAGTCGAAACTTTAATTAAGAAATTAAAAAGGATAAAAAAAAGTATAAAAGGCATTGAAGAAAATATCGAATCCATTGTGTCTATGGTAGATGTAAATGCAACGAAATGCAAACTAGAGTATGCAAATAATGATTTGATGAAAATGAGTGATATTTTCTTGCAGCAACTTGAGGATGAGGATTTGAATGACGAAGTGGAAAATTGCATAGATAAGTGTATAAGATTAAAGTAAGAATTGGATTTAAGGCATAATGGGCAAGAAACATCTGAGAAAGGGGTAAATTTACATGTTAAAATGCCTAAACTTGAATTGCCAACTTTCGATGGTAGATTAGAATCATGGCTTTCATTTAAGGATTTATTTTTTTCTGCGGTTGGTTCTAACTCACAAATACCTAATATTGAAAAGTTACAATATTTAAAAGGCCAACTGAGAGGCGAAGCCCTAAGACTGGTCAACGCATTTCCAATTACAGCCGATAATTATGTGGAGGTTTGGCAAACCTTATTAACAAGATATGATAATCCAAAGGATCTGATTTTCACCCAAATAGATAATGCATTAAGATTACCAAAGTTAGCCGATGACAACCATAAGTCAATGTTTAAACTTCTAGATAGTTGCAACGAGATAGTAAGAACAGTGAAGGTATTAGGTTACCAAATCGATAGTTTATCTGATGTGTTTTTCGTCAAGATCATACAAGATAAGCTTGATAAAACCACAAGAAAACAGTGGGAATTGCAGAACAACCCAAGGGTTGTGCCTTCAAGTAAGGATTTAATGGAATTTCTAGAAATTCACGCAAAAAGCTTGCAGAATTTGCCAAATAAAGATGCAAATGTGGAGGAGTCATCTATTAAAAGGGAAACAGCCCCAAGAATGGAAGTACAACAAAAGCAATGGGGACATCCAGGTAGAAGCCCTATGGACTATAGTTCTAAAAGACGCCCCTGCCGAATTTGCCTAAACCGGGGACATGCCGGACGCTTCCATCCTGAGAATAGGTGCTGGTTTCGCGAGAGGGCCGTGCAAGCCCCCCCCGCTGCAAGCTTCATGTCCGTGCCGTCTCGATCCATGGACACCTTGACGCAGACAACAGCCCCTTCGAGCGAATGCCGACCAGCTCCCCTTCAACACTCCTGACGCCAAGGTCTGTATATAAATCTAAATATGAACAATATCAATATTATAGCTCTCATAGATACTGGCTGTACCTTCTCGATAATTCCTCAACACATGTTAGATAAGATTCAACCAAACTATGTTGTTTTTGATAATTTACCTCTTATTAATCAGACATCCGGTATGCTAAATATAAATTCAAAAATTAATGTTAATACAACTATAGGATTTATTACTAGAGATATTGATTTT